TAATCATTGCCTAGTAGGGGGTGAGGCTCTGGACCCCAAATATATCACCAACCGGAAGCTCCGCCCTTTCCAGTTTGGGTCAGCCAAGGTTTTGGGTTATGTACTTCAGAATGGACTGAACCCCCAGGACCAAGAAGAGTGTGAACGCCTGGCTACCCCTGAGCTACAGTACAAGGACAAGCTGGATGCCAAGCAGTTTCCCCCTACAGTCTCACTGCCCCTTAAAACTTCAAAGCTGGCCTCCCCATAGGTATCAGACATCAGATTGGGGCACAGAAAGAAGCTGCCAGAAGCATTCTCTGCTTCCCTCCCAAGGAATGGAAGTTTACCCTGACTCAAGTCCCAAGTCTTCTAGCCTTTGCCTGGGAATCCCAACTGGTCTCCCTCCCCTACTCACATAGCGCCTTTCTTGTCCCAAGGGAGGTAGGTCCGTGTGTGGCCCTCTCTAAGCCCCGCTAGAGGGGCAAAGATGGGAGTAAACTGAAAATGTTCGGGGAATGGTGAGCTGGAATGACACGTACATTTTCTATGAAATATTTGTTATTGGGCTGTGATCATCTCACTACGAAGCATTTGTTGAATGAATAAATGATACAAAATTTTCACTTGATCCTTGTAAGACAAAAGGGGAACGCCGGAGAGGCTTGCAAATAGGTCCGGGAAAGGAAGGGTTCTTTCAATACATCTTCCTGGCGCAGCCTCTCGGTCTATTATCTCCAGCCTCACAGCAACCTGAGCGCACGGAGCCCCGCCCTCTCCCCCACAGTCCCACCGTGCAGATTCTGGGGTTCCCCTGAACCACGCCCCTTCCGTTTCCGGTTTTTCCGCCAGTGTTTTACCCGGCACCGTGGTTCCGGAGCCGCCGGGTCTGGGTTCCGGGTTCGTTGCCCCGGTTTCCGGACCCGGCTGCCGTTCTGGGCCGCCTGGCCGGGTCACGCACCGCCCCTGTCCGGTGCCGGAACTCAGCGGACCCAGCCCCGCGGGCCCTGTCGCTCCCCGCCGGGGCTGGTCTCCCGTGCTGGCCCGCTCGCCCCCTGACCGGACTGGACTGGCCGGGTTCCTCGCCGCCCATGGAGTCCCAGTGCGACTACTCGATGTACTTCCCGGCGGTGCCGCTGCCGCCGCGCGCGGAGCTGGCGGGGGACCCGGGCCGGTACCGGGCGCTGCCCCGGCGCAACCATCTGTACCTTGGGGAGACGGTCCGCTTCCTGCTAGTGCTGCGCTGCCGGGGCAATGCGGGGTCCGGCGCCGGAGGCGGCCAGGGCTTGGGCTCCCGGGGGGCCTGGGCGGAGCTGGCGACCGCCTTGGCCGCCCTGGCCTCTGTCAGCGCTGGAGGCGGGCTGCCGGGGGGCGGTGGCGCGGGCGACCTGGACCCTGAGCCCCCAGGCGGAGGGGACCCAGGGGGCGGGGGCTTGTTCCGCGGCTGCAGCCCTCTTCTCACCCACGGCCCTGGCCCTGCTACCTCAGGGGGAGCGACCATGGTGAGTTTGGGGTACAGAACTCAGGGGCGGCTTGCTGGGCACCAAGGACACGTCTTGGAGGGGGATGTTGGTGGTGGGGAGGGGAACTGATGACAGAAAGGCAGGGCATGACGGTCCATATATTGCAGACACGTTAAAGGGAAGAATGGCAAGTGGCACTCGGTGACCCTCTCCTGACCTTTTCACCATTTTCATAACCTCAGCTGCCTGTGGAGGAACCGATCGTGTCCACAGATGAGGTCATCTTCCCACTCACTGTTTCACTGGATAGACTGCCTCCAGGGACACCCAAGGCCAAGGTAAGATAGCGAGAGTGGAGCTCCTGACCTAGTTGAGACACCCTCTCACAGCCCTGCGGACTATTTTGCACTTGATTGGGGTTCCATGTCTCTTGTACTCAGATTGTAGTGACCGTGTGGAAGCGAGAAGTTGAGGCACCAGAGGTCAGAGATCAAGGCTATTTGCGCTTGCTGCAGACCCGATCTCCTGGGGAAACCTTCCGGGGAGAGCAGAGCGCCTTCAAGGCCCAAGGTGGGAAAGTGCTGCAGAGGAGAAGAAAGGCTAGGGTGGGACTGGGAGGGGCACAGTAGAGGGGTGACTCTGGAAAGGGCCTGATGGGAGAGGACAGTAAGAACCGTGGGCTGGAGGGGAGGTCAGGACCCTACCCTACCATCTGCTTGTTTCACCTTCCTGCAGTGAGCACCCTACTGACGCTGCTGCCTCCTCCAGTTCTGAAATGCCGGCAGTTCACTGTGGCTGGAAAACACTTGACCGTTCTCAAGGGTGAGCAGATCTGCTGGCACAGGTCTTGGGTAGCAGCAGGGGGACTGACTGGATGGCATGGTTCCTGGCAAGCCGGCAGGGATGGGTGCAGAGACCCAGCTACTCTGAGCTAGGCTGGTTACCTTCTACAGTGCTGAACAGCTCCTCTCAGGAGGAGATCTCCATCTGGGATATCCGAATCCTCCCTAACTTCAATGCCAGTTATCTACCTGTCATGCCCGATGGTTCTGTGCTGCTGGTGGACAACGTCTGGTGAGAGCCCATGGGATGGCAGGGCTGTGAAGTTGTGGACATGGACATGGGCAGGGGCTGAGCTCTGGCACAGAGAAATCATGCGCTGTCTTGTTCTCTTCTGAACTAGTCACCAGTCGGGTGAAGTCTCCATGGGCTCCTTCTGCCGGCTCCCTGGTACCTCTGGCTGCTTCCCCTGCCCACTTAATGCCCTGGAGGAACACAACTTCTTGTTTCAGCTGAGAGGGAGTGAGCAGCCCCCTCCAGGGGCCAAGGAGGTGAGGATAAGGGGTTGGAATATTTGAGAAAAAGGGTAAGGGAGTGGGAGGGCCAGGTCAAGAGCCTAAGGATGGGAGGAGAGCTCTGATGCAAGTGGTATCTCCCTTTATCTCGCATGCAGGGCCTCGAAGTTCCCCTGATTGCTGTGGTTCAGTGGTCCACCCCGAAACTACCCTTCACCCAGAGCATCTATACCCACTACCGGTAAGTATATGGGAGCCCCTGTCAGGGACCCTCCTCTCACCTCTGTGGCCTGAAACACACATCTATCTAGCTTCTTTCTCTCTGTTCCTAGCCTGCCCAGCGTCCGCCTGGACCGCCCCTGCTTTGTGATGACCGCTTCTTGTGAGTCCCCTGTGCGGACCTATGAGCGGTTCACTGTCACCTACACGCTACTCAACAATCTTCAAGACTTCCTTGCTGTGAGGCTTGTGTGGACCCCGGAGCATGCACAGGCTGGTGGGTTAGCTACCAGGCTAAGACCTTGTCCCCTGGGAGGCATGGGGAATGGAAGATGAATGAGGTGGGACAGTGGGTGACCTGTGGCATGTGGCTCTGGCTTTATACCTGGGTGATGTCCCCAGAAACACATGGAATTTCGAGACACAGTAGGGCTCAGTGACTTGAAGGGCATAAATGCTAGAGCTGCTACTCATTCGTGAGCTGTGAGACTTTGGGTAAGCTAATTAGCCTCTCTGGGCCTTGATCTACATCTTTAAGATAGGACAAGTAACACTTCATGGTTTTGAAGATGAATGAATTAACATGGTTGGAATGAGCTTCAGCATGCTGTATAGTTCCCCATAACCCTCCACAAACCATCGTATTTGCTCACTTTACTCTATAGAACAGCTTTGGAAACCAAATATGGCCACACTGGTGATAGCTGTGAGGACTGAGGAAGGCTGTCCACTGCTCATCAGTGCCTGTTTCTGCCCCTCAGGAAAACAGCTGTGTGAGGAGGAGCACCGGGCCATGCAGGCGGCCCTGGACTCCATCGTCTGCCACACACCCCTCAACAACCTTGGCTTTTCACGGAAGGGCAGTGCACTTACCTTCAGTGTGGCCTTCCAGGCTCTGAGGTCGGGGCTCTTTGAGGTGGGCCAGTGCTGCGGGAAGGGCTGAGGGATATGGTTAGGGCTCCTGGCTTCCACAGAGGGAGGATTTGTAATAGGTGGTGCCGGAGGGCTGGGGAGAGGGAAGATGACACTCAAGAAGGTCTGGCTGGAATTGCTGATGCATGTCTCCTGCTGCAGCTGAGCCAGCACATGAAGCTAAAGCTGCAGTTCACTGCCAGTGTGTCCCACCCTCCGCCTGAAGCCCGGCCCCTCTCTCGCAAGAGCAGCCCCAGCAGCCCTGCTGTCCGCGACCTGGTGGAGAGGCACCAGGCCAGCCTGGGTCGCTCACAGTCCTTCTCCCACCAACAGCCTTCCCGCAGTCACCTCATGAGGTAGGCACTGGAGCAGGCTTCCCATGGGCATGGGCAGAAGCTGGAACAGGGAGTGGGGAGAGGGGCTGTGTCTGAGCAGAGCCCATAGCCTCTGCCCTCTCCCAGGTCTGGCAGTGTGATGGAGCGCAGGGCCATCACGCCCCCTGTTGCCTCTCCTGTCGGACGGCCCCTCTACCTGCCTCCAGACAAGGCCGTGCTGTCTCTGGACAAGATTGCCAAGCGCGAGTGCAAAGTCCTGGTGGTGGAGCCTGTCAAGTAGCACCGTGCTGCTCTGCTCCCCATTAGCTCCAGAAACCCGAAGCCCCTGGTGGGCTTCTTGCTCCCAGGCTGTGCCTCCCCTGCGACACCTCCTGCTGTGGATGAAGAGGCCCAGCAGGGCTGCCTGTCTATGTCTGCTGAGGGACAAGGGCAGAAGCTGTGAAATGGGTGGTGTGGCTGCAGCCCTAGGCCAACAGTATTTCCCAGTTCCTTTGGGGGGGCTGGCCCCACCTTAGGCAGGGCAAGGGCTCCAAGAGCTCCCTCGCCCCCATCCTTGTCCCTTGTAAGTTTACAGAGTATTTTCCTCATTCTTGTTATGTTCTGTCTGCCTCTGACATTCCCTCCCTCCTACCTACCCACGCATAGCGCTGAGATTAGAGGGTGGTGATGGTAAAGGGACCTTGACAATGACCCGCCTGTCTCAGGGGTTGGGAGATAGCTAGGTGGCCTCCTTCTGCCCTATGTTTACTTTGGTGGCCTGAAGCACTTTAAGTTGTGTCTTTTTTTTTGTGTGTGTATGTGGGGGGGGGAACCCTCTGTTGCTGTAACTTATTCTTCAACTACAGCTTCCAACTGAAATAAGACTATTAAATGCCCATTCAGGAGGGAGAAAAATGGCTGCTGTTTGTGTGTTAATGGAAGGAACAAATCACAGGAGTTCAGGAAGTTTCCCTCTGCATGTGCGCAAACAGCTCCCTTCCTGGCTGTTTTTCCTATTCCTAGTTTTATAATGGTGGTGGCCCTGCCCCACCCATCCTGGGCTGAAATACAGATTGTTTCCACAAAAGTTAGCAGACAAAAAGCAACCCCTCCTAGCACAGACGCTCTGTACAAACATCCCTAGGCCTAGGTCATACCAGGTTCGTGTTTATTGGGGAGGGTGGTGGAGGAAGGAAAGAAAGGGGGCCCCCTTGCTCAAGTTCTTAACATAGCACAAAATCCCCAAGTCTCTACTCTTCAGGTAACTGTGGATGACCAGAAGGCCCTGGTTCCAGCAGCAAGCCGAGGAAAGTGTCGGGGTGTGTGCTTCTCCTCAACACAGAGACCCAGAGGCCCAGTCCACTGCTCCGACCCTGACCGTCTGGCAGGCTCAGACGTCAATAGGTTCCCGGCCTCGGTTCTGCCTCTTCACCACAAACACCCTCTGTCCTGACACAGTCACCAGCAGCGTGTGTTCTCCAAAGACCACTGGAGGGGAGACACACCAAGAAGAGGGAAAGGAACAGAGCATTAGGGGGTTTGAGGGATGCCACAGCATCCAGCAGATTCGCTGGATCAACAGCTAAAACTGTCCAAGGCTGAGAGATTGGAAGGGCAGGCCACTGTAAAATCCCCTTTCTCTTCCTTACTTAGTCCTAACACTAAAGGCAGAGTGTGGCTGAACCAGGACATTTGGTGAAGGAGACAAATACTTGTTTCTTTCTTGAAAAGCCTCTGGAAGGACCCCCCCACACACACACACCAGGGCAAGGACAGGGAGCTCACCAGACAGGCGCTTGAAGGGAACATTCATGCCATGGTGCAGTCGGAAGCCGCAAGCTGTGCTGACCAGCTCAGAGATGGCACTGGCTGCCTGCTCGTCATTTTCGAGATCCCCAGACGACTGCATGTATATGGAGGGAAGGTGCAGAAATAAGGGCACAGAATTGGGAAGGAATTCCAGGCACAGGCCCTCTGGCTCACACTTGCATCTCCCTCTCCATTTTCCAGGACCTCTGGCTCACCCAGTTGTGGAAAGACCACCTAACGCTTCTCTGTGATGTCACCCTCCTTGCCATCCTGTTTCTCATCCTTAAATGCTGGGCTTACCCTACCAGGCACAAACTCATCTGATTCTACTGGTGGCTCTTTTCTAACCCCTTGAAACTGAGTTGGTATTTGCCTTGTTCCTTCCCTTTTTTAAAAAAATTTTATTTATTTATTTTTTCCTTCCTTCTTGGTAGAAAAATATTAAGTCTTCAAGATTGGCACCTGCCCAGCAGACTCATGAAAGGCTCTAACCTTGTCTTCCCACTTATCTGACCATCAATAGAATCTGAATATCTTTGTCTTCAAGCCCCTCCTCCTTCCTGTTCCTTGAGTGATGATAAGGCAGTGGCCTGGACTTCCTCTTTTTTTTGTATTTTAGGGAAGGGTCTATAGGGTGTTCAGGGTCTCACTAGTAAATTGGACTCCTAGTGATCTGCCTGTTAACAGCCTCCCAAGAGCTGGGATTATCGGTGTATGCCACCATGCCCAGTCTCAATTACCATCTCAGCATGCCCCAGGGGTGGGGCTGGCAAGGCAGGCCTGGGGATTGAACCCCAGCCCCTGCTGGCAGGCGCTTTAATCCACTGAGCTATTTGGCTGGCCCACTTTTCTGGTGATTGTCCCACTTTTCTCTCCTGATCTTTTCAACATAAGCCTCTTTCTAGTTTAACTTTGGTTCCTTTTGCTTTTGCATGTTCTGTACCTCATTTTTTTTCATCTGTATTTTGGGTACAACAGTACCTATTTTATGGGCTTTTGAGGGGGTTACTTCAGACAACTGTGGGGAGGTACTGAAAACTCCTAGCAATTTTATTAACTACTGCTTTTCTACTTCTTGAGAGTTTGTTTGGAGGTTTTAGCAGAGGAGTGCAGCTATTTGTACACCCTTGACCGAGGAATGGTCCTCCTCTATCGGGGATGGTTGTCCTCTTCAACTTAGTGCGCAGCTTCAGGAAGGATGCACATGGAGCATTGAGGGAGGAAGAGGACACCCATCTGTCCAGCCAGATCGGCTGAATCAACTCTGGCGATGAATGGGGTGACAGCTGTTGCAGCCAGATCACCCTCACATCTTCTTTTTCTACTTCTGATTCATTGTCTGCAGTTGGGCCATCCAAAGTCCCTTTATCCACCTCCTCTGCAGTCAGTTCCTTTTAAAATTCCCTGTTTGTTAAGGCACAGCATCATTCTAGGCTTCTCAGTTAAAAGTTCTACTAAGGGAAAAGTATCCCTATAGGGCAGTGACAACAAATGTACTATTGTTTTTCTTTTAAAACAAAAGATGTTAATGTATGAGGTTTTTGTTGTTTTCTAAACTAAGACCTCAGTATTTAGTTTTCATGGCAGTGTTAGCACTTTTCGATAAATAAGTAGGTCTTGGGTTACAGTTTGGCAGTTGGTTTCTAAAAGGCTTGCCCTTACTGCTATAGAAGATACATAAGTACTTATCTCTAGTTATTATCATGATGTGTGTTCTTCCTTAAGATTTCTTCCCTTGCTACCTCTCAGCCTATCTGCATCATTCACAATCTTGCTCAACCCTTTTGCTGGGTCATACTTCTGTTCAAAAAAACTGTCTTCCTATAACCCTCAAGATGAAATCCAACTCCTCCAACCTGCTTGCTCGGCGGCGGCAGCGGTTGTTCCTACCTCTCCGCCACCTCCACCGCTGCCTGTCCTTCGGCCGGAGGCGTTGGCGGGGAGGGGGACAGTAGTTGTAGATCCCGCCCCTGCCTCAGGGAAGATACTATATTGAATGAAGAACGACTGAATTTACAGGTGCTTCTCCTAAAAGGCATCTGTGGAGTGCTCCAGTTTGAATAATAAAAGAATGTCCATTATGAGCTACCTGATTGTTGCAGTCTCACTATTTGCGGGTAGTTCATGCTGAAAAACTGAAGCAAGTACTAGATAAATATGATCAGATCTCTCCAGCCAGTCCTCAGCCTGACAGAGAATCCCTTGTCAACCTAATGAAGCATTCAAAGTCATATGACTCTTCAAGATGAACTTGAAGATTATATTAAAGTGCAGAAAGCCAGAGGCTTAGAGCCAAAGACTTGTTTCAGAAGGATGAGGGAGGACTACTCGGAAAGCTGTGGGTACAGGGAAGAAGTTGATCCCAGGCCCAGGTATAGAAGGTTTGATCAAAGACTCCCGTCTGGAACTGTCCAGACTTACCCAAGACCACACAATATTTCACAAACAGAAAACCGGTTACCTCAGTGGTTCCCAGTTCATGACAACAGGCCAAGACTAGAATCTCTGAGCTACTGTCAGTACCGTAGAGACTGTTTCTCTGAAAAACCAGCGCCCCTGAACCTCAGCCAGCAAGCATATAATCACGGTTCAGCCAGCACAGACGCTGGAAGTCCCGAGCACCTCTCCTCGGGAGCCAGGACTGGTGCCCATCCAGCCAGTCATCAGAAGAGGAGGCACCCAGAGGAAGGCAAAGAGAAACCAAAGGAGGAGCGGCCCAAGCATAAGAGGAAAAGAGGTCTTGAGGTGGATTTGGAAGAACATGAGAGCATCCAAAGAAAGAAAACTGAGATGGAAACAGATGCTGCACAGGGCAGTACAGAAAAGCCTAAGCATCAAAAGGAGAGGAAAAGCCGAGAGCTGGCCTCTAAGAAGAAGGACTAGAAGCGCAGAAAAGAGAAAAAGGAGCAAGGCGAAGAAAGAACGGAGGAAGAAATGCTTTGGGACCAGCCTATCCTTGGACTTTGGAGCTCTGTGGTTGGTTCTCCTAAGGTTAAAATTGAAAACATAGCTAAGGAGCTTGGTTTTGTGATATGCATGTTCCTATCACTCATGTGAACAGGTAGTTGAGTTCTGACAAAGGCCAGGTGAACATGAAGCGCTCAGTGTGCTTGTTCTCCAACGCGGAAATTCCTTTTCCGCATTTTCCTAGAACATTACATTTTTCTTACATTTGATAAAATTTCCTTTTAGGAGAGTGGTTCTGGTTTATTGAAACTGCCATGATGGTGGAATTATTTTCTCTTGGGAAATAATTTATTTTAAACTGGAGGATTCAGAGGCCTTGCAGAATTTATTTCTTGATTGGATTTGTTTTTAGCTTTGAGTTGGGTATTTTTATGTTTTTTTGGTTTTCTTTATAAAGCAGTTCAGATTTTTTTCCTTGTTAACTTGCAGTATATTTTCTAGGTTGGAAAGTGGAAAATGAATGCATTATAATAATAAAAATAAGTTTATGTTACATATAGTTCTAAAAGTTTCAAAGAGTCTTGATACAAAATCAATTTATATTCTGGAGAAGTTTATAATAAAGTGTTTTAATAATAATA